TTGATTTAAGACAATTACAACCTTAATCGATTAAAAACTAAACTGCATGATTTATGTCCGGTTTAAAGCAATCCGGACAACACATGATCAATTTTAAACTAAACCGCATGTTCATGTTCGGTTTAAAGCAATCCGGACAACGCATGATCAATTTAAAACTAAACCAAATGATTCATGTCCTGTTTAAAGCAATCTAGACAACACATGATCGATTTAAAACTAAACCGCTCAATATGTGATCGGTTTATAACTAATCTGCACGACCCTTAGGCGATTTAAGGCTAAACCGCACAATACTTGGTCGTATTCATACTTCTCCGTTCAAAACCTTTATCCGGTTACATATTTCACGATTCTACCAACTCATTAAATAGCACAACTCTTGAGCGATTTATAATTAAATCGGACAACATGTGTCTGGCTTAGAACCAATCCGAACAACACTATGACCAGTTTAAGGCAATCCGGTCAAACTTTATCTGGATAAAATTCTAAATTGCATAAACAGATTTTAAAGATAATAGGCAATTTCTTTCTAAAACAAACAACCAAAGCTTAAAAGAAACTTTTAGAAAATACTCACCTTTAAGAATGAACTCAGATTTTGAAGAAGATAAGAAACGCAAAAACCAACTTGATTCAACACTAGATCTCCGGATAACTCTTTTCTCTAAATCTCCCAAAACTTTTCAAATGAGGCAAGAAGAAGCCTCCTTACCAAAAACTTTATATTTAAACTTTCCTATAAAGCAAAGTCGGCTGAAACAGCCAACACCATTCATACATACATTCATGTAATTACATGCATACCCCACATACTTCATGCACATATAATTTCTCACACATACATATATATATATATATATATATAACATATCTATACATATATATATATATATATTCACATATTATATATATATCCCTATGCATAAAATACACATACTCATGTATTCAATCCATGTAAACATGTATTCATCTAGACAATTAATTTACATAATAAATACCTTGGGCAATAACCAGGATCCGGTTATCACATTTGTCCTCTTTAGTCTCTACACCAGTCGTTCCTTCACATCGCTCCTCCCACACGATCTTCGGTCTTCCATTCGCCTTCTTCCCCCCTCCCCCCACGATCGTCGTTCTTCCGGTCGCCGTCTCCGGTTGCTTTCTTCCAGCAGGTCGTTCGATCGCCTTCTTCCAGTAGGTCGTCCGGTCGTCACCCATACTGCTTCCCTCCATCCTTTTCCTCATCGCTTTAGGTATTTCCTCGCCCCTACAGCTTTTGTCGTTATCTGGATGGGATTGATTTTCGTGAGATACAGAAAATGGTTATAACCCAAGTTGATTCGGGGTTTTTCACTTTCGACATTTTTTAGAAACTGTTCACAAGCCTACTGTTAGAAAATGATTGTTGTTATTCACAACAGGTATTTCCTCGCTTCCTATACCATTTCCTCTACGATTCGGTGCACCACCCTCAACTCAAAAAACTGGGGGGCCACCCTCAACTCAAGAGTGTTCTTCTCGTCCTCCGGTACAAAGTAAAAAGCAGAAAGCTAAAGAAATAAGTACTTCAAAAAAAACGGAAGTTGAAGAAACTATTTTGAAAGTTATGAATGTTATGATAGAGAAGCATGGAGGAGCAAAATATGACATTGATGATTGCTTGAAGAAGTTAGAGGAACTTGGATGGGGTGCACTGTTGCATGATATAACACTCTTTGTTTTAGCCGAAAATGCCGACTATAGGAAAATGTGGATGCGTTTAGAACCGACGAAGTGTGAGAATTGGATTAGACTTATGGCACGCAAGTACAGACTACTTTAGTTGGTGGGTTTGATTAGACTATGTTTTTGGGAGGATATGTGTTTTGATTAAACTTCATGCTATCGATTCGAACATATCTTTTGGATTTGTGTTTATTTTTATTGGAACATGTGTTTTGGAATGGATTTATTTATGGTAAAATGTGTTTTGGATTGGATTTGTGTTTATTTATGGTTTTCCTGTTTAATATATGTGTTTTTTATGTGCTTAATATGTGTTACAAGGTAATACATGGATTTTGAAGAAGAACTTTTGCTAGTTATGATCATCTATTGATATTGGAAATACAAACTTTCTTCAAGGATAGAACGAATAAGAAATAACACTTCTGCCTTAACTGGACATGCATATACACTAGAGTTGTTAGCCGGATTGAATACATAATGCGTTGAATTGATGCGACTTTCTTGGGATGCGTATATACTATTATGCAACCATTTTGAACAAAAAAATTGGTTGCAAGATAGTAAGAATGTCACCATCGAGGAGAAGATGACTATTTTTTTTTCACAATTATTGGTCATAATGAACGCTTTAGAATGGTTAAACGGAGATTTCAACACTCTACAGAAACTATTCATAGAAATTTTCATGAAGTGCTACGAGCAATGATGAAATTTGCAAAAGAAGTTATACGACCGACATCCTCTGAGGCAACGCAAAACACATCAGAACGTCAAAGAAATCTCAGACAAATATTTCCGGTAAGTTTTCTATTATATTCTGTAAAACCAACAAGCCTGTTATATTTTCTATTAATTTGTATTTCTAAATAAAGGGGGCAATGGGTGCATTAGATGGAACTCTCATACATGCAGTCGTGCCTGTTGATCAACAAGCTCGTTATAGAGGTAGAGGAAGAGGTGAATGTTATCAAAATGTTTTAGGTATTTGTGATTTTAATATGTTTTTCACGTATGTTTGGGCTGGATAGGAGGGTATAGCACATGATGCTAGAGTGTTGAGAGAAGTTGCTTTTAGTCCAATCTGGCTTTCCATTCCCTCCACGAGGTATGTAAAATTTTTACTCAACTTTAAATGTTTACCATTTCTTATACATTTTATATAATGGGTTGAAACTCAAATTTCGATTGTAGATAAATATTATCTCTGTGATGCTGYTTATGCCAATACTCGTGGTTTTATGACTCCATATCGCAATACGAGGTATTGGCTTGTTGATTTTCGACGACAACTTGCCTTGACCAAAGAAGAAAGGTTTAACCATGCTCATGCGCAACTCAGAAACGTTATCGAGCGTGCCTATGGTGTCTTGAAGGAAAGATTTCCAATTTTAAACCAAATGGCTCCCTATCCGTTTCGCATACAAAGGAACATTGTGATTGCCTGTTTTGTGGTTCAGATATCTGCCAAACAGCTCTATTTCGTTCAGTACTAAATTATTCAGAGGGTTAAAATGGTAATTTATTGTCATTCAGAGAACGGTTACCAAACAACATTATTTCATTCAACACTTAACCATTCTGGCCCTCTTAACCATTCGGACCACTTAACTATTTTGCATCAAACCATTCAGCAATCGCCAAACAGCCCCTTAGAGGGATTTGGATTGGAATAGATTTAAAATCATTTGTGTGTTTGTTAGGAATGAAATTCAGTGTAAAATTGTATTCGTCTTGAAAGATAAAATTGTCTATAATTGTGTAAAAGTCATCGTGTTTGACTTTTATTTGAGATAGTTTGACTTTGACCTCTTGTCTTGTTTAACCCTATATAAAGGGTGTTCTCTTGTATTTTTAGAGTAGGATGTCATATTGTAAAATCAGATTTACGTATATAGAGTTTGACCAATATATGAGCATTGACTTTCTCTCTCTCTCTCTTCTCTAGTAGTTCTTACATGAATATCATAATCTGCCATTGTTCTTGAAGGATTTGCATGGAAGATTGATTGTTAGGGACAAACAGTGTTTGGTTTGTAGAATTTGGAATGAAATTGGATTCCATTATATATAAATGCTTTATAAAAAAATATAAAAAATTAAGTTACATTTTTATTAATCGATTATTACAAAACATATGTTTTTAACATTTTTTAGAACCTTATTATATACAATCCTACGAAATCCTGTAAAATCCCAAACATTCCTTAAGGATTTCAAAATCCTATGTTTGTAAGATTTTAATTAAATTCTAGGAATTTAAATCTGAACAATCTAACAAACCAAACATGGGATTGAATGAGATTTGAAATCCAAATCTCCCAAAATCAATTCCATTCATGCAAACCAAACGAGACCTAAAGATTTCAAAATCCTATATTTGAAGGATTTCAATTAAGTCCTAAGATTTCAAATGCGGACAATCCAACAAACCAAACATGAGATTGAAATGGAGTTGAAATGCAAATCTTCCAAAATCCATTCCATTCCTTCAAACCAAACGGGACCTTAAGTATGACCGCGTTTACTTTGACTCGTGGAATATGGGTCATGTGGAAACCAAAATTAATTGACAAGAAGAATTCTTTGCATGACTCGGGGAAAACAACATCACAAACTTTCTTCCTCTTGATTTCTTTTATATTAAAAGTTGGAAAAACTAATTGATGCAAATCGCGGATTAATGGTTTGAATATCAGCAGCATGCGAGATTGTAAATTTTAGTTGGACGGATTGAATACTATATCAAAATATGTAAAAAGAATATCGTTTCTTAATGCAATTTATATATATCAATCATATCATATATTCAAGTTTGTCATTCGAAGATAACATATTTGTTGTACAAATGTTGTATCGTTTATAAGGTTATATACGTTTTTTTTTGTTTTAATGAACATGTTTTTTCAAATCTTAAGGTGAAACTCTTTGTAAATGTGCTCTAGCTAAAAAATTTGATAGTAAATTTGAACAAACTTCTAAATTATTGGAGCTGGTGTGATGGGTTGCATGTAATACATGTTAGCCGGTTGTTGCTCTCTATTCCCTTAGGATTGTTGAAAGACACAGGAATATGCCCTGACATGTTGTTTTTTGAAATGTTGAGCACGTTTAGGTTTGCCTAATTTCACCCCAGATTCTATTGTTGGACAAGTGACATAAGTTATGAACTGTACTCAAGAAAAATTCAAAATCTAAGGATTCAAGATGGATTACAAGACGAAGAATGGGAATACATTGAACAACGAACTGACAACAGCTACCCATTTTCACCAGATTTTGAAGAGTTGAAGAAAGTCGAGTGAATAGCCCATGATCAAGATTGATAAGAAGAACCCAACTAGAATACCGATCCAACTTCCCACCCAAAATATCCACGATAGTTTCTCGTCATCCTCCCCTATTTCTATTCCTTCTGATGGTAGGATATCCTCTGGACACTGGATCATAATCTGCATACCACATAATCCGTTGTTGTTGGCAAAATACTTCAACTCATTTATTGTGTTCATTTGCTCGCCAACAGGTATCTTACCGGTCAACTTGTTATTGCTCACATCCAGAATTGCAAGTTCACCCAACTTTGCTAGCGATTTAGGAATCGAACTTGAGATTTTGCTGTGTGACAAATCCAAGCTCTCTATTCCTTTAAGATTGCTGGAAGACACTGGAATATGCCCGGAGATGTTGTTGTTTGAAATGTTAAGCTCTTTTAGGCTTTTGAGATTCCCTAATGATTCCGGGATTTCACTTGAGATTCTATTGTTCGAAAAGTCCAACAAAGAGTATATATCAAGGCTATGACTCGATAAGCCTTGAAAATAGTTCTTCCAATTCACTATCAAGTCCTCAATGTCAATGTGGATTAGGTCGAAAAAAGGGGAAATGTAAAGATTAGAGATTGTATCAATAATGGGACCGGATGTTGACATGTGTACCGGAGTTTCGATCGTTCTTGTGAGATTTTCTATTTCCACTGGAATACTACCTGTTAGCTTGTTACCAGAGAGATCAAGAATTTGGAGATTGGTGAGATTTTGAATAACCCAATTGGGATTTCTTCTGTTAGCTTGTTGTTTTGAAGATGAAGGACTTTTAACTTGCTCAAGTTTTGTATCGATGATGGTATCGGACCCATGAGCTGGTTGTTGTGTAGGACAACTGTGGTCATGTTGGGCAGTCTTCCTATCCTAGTTGGAATTTGCTTGGAGAATGAGTTGTCAGATAAATTAACAACTTCTAAATCCATCATGTTGGCAATTGAAGAAGGGATTCCACCGGAGAACTTATTATCTGCGAGGTATAACTCCCTTAACTTTGTCAGATTTCCAATCTCTTCAGGGATGTTTCCCGAAAGAGAATTGTTCCTCAGATCCAACGATTCAAGATATTGAAGCTTACCAACTTTAGGGGTTAAAACACCATTAAAATGACCGTCATTTAGATAAAGAAATCGAAGAGAAGTCATATTCTAAAAAGAACCCCCGAGTTCAAGACCCAAGGTGAACTCGTTCCCCCCCCATGCCAAGGTGAACCAATTCAATGAGATTTCCGAACCCATATTCAGGGATGGGGCCTACCAAACCATTACTCGAGATATCAAGTAGTTTCAATGACCGAATCTGGAAAAGCAGAGTTAAGATGTCAAAGGACCTGCAAACCGAACTGCCAAACAAAGGGATGGCTATTGATAGGTGGAGCTCGGTGACAGTCCTGGTTCTAGTTCTGGCACCATACGTGAACTAACCTCTTTGTGTAAACTTGTATAATAGACATCAACTTGTGTTTTGACTTTATAGCACTTCTATTTTGACTTGGGATCTCATCATGTAGATATATTCAGTCTATCGATCCTTGTTGAATTCTTTGATACCCAATACTTCCACAATGTCTAACTCCTTCATGCTTCTAAAAACATTTCTTTTTAGAATCTTCTAGAAAAACAACCCTGATTCTAGAACGCTCCCATCTTTCAGTTTGATCTGATTATGTAGGTACATTTTCAGTTCTGACATGTTGCTCCATTTGATGTACAGAAGATTCAGGTTGATGTTGCTCTCTATCAGGTGACTCTGGAATTTCCTCATTTAACTTATTGATCATGTTAAAATCTCCCTCTTCTTCAAATTCATTATTAGAGAAAGTAAACAAGTCTATTGTCTCACTCTTGACATATAACTTAAGAGATTTTGACTCTTCTACATTGGATTCTCTATCGATGATGTCAATTAGTAATTTGTCTGCTAGGATATCTTCTTCCGTTCTTTTATCTGCAACTTCAGGCTTTTCAATCCTCAGTTCTATAATCAAATTTACCATAAATTCAAAATCATCAGATTGAGTTCCACCTTCAGACCTATGAATCTCTTCAGTATTCTCAATCACAACATTAACTTCAGTAGTCTGACCTTCAGTACTTGTCCCTTTAGATAACCTCTGACGCTTCTTTTCCCCCTCATGATGATCTTGATCATCAGGATCATCATGTCTTCACTTTAAAGTGCCCGCCTGAGTTCTACAAGTATCCTTCAAGGCTTGAACCCTTCCAAATAAAGTAGATAGTGTCTATTGGGGAGACTTGGAAGTTGATTTGATTAGATTAGAAACATTCAAGAAACATAATCTAACTTCACTCTTAAATTGTAAAACCTCTATTCTGCTCACGATAGCTGTTGAAGCTTCTGATTGACTTCTTAAAATTCCAGCCAAATCTACGGTTTACAGGATGAACGTCAGATTGAGAGACAAGTTTTGCAAATAACATAGAATTTAAGTCATCAGCACATAAATCTTATGGTTGCCTCTGAGATGGTTGTGTAGGAGCTGTAGGTGGTGTAGGTAGTACTTCAACAACACCTTTCCCCTTAAGGAATCTCTTCGATTCATCAAACTGCTTCACCATGGATTCTTAAATAGACCTTAAAGTTGTGGCCAATATATCTGATGTAACAAATGGGTAAGTAACTCCTGGTCCACTTAGGATACCAGTTGACACAATGGTTGAATCAACCGTATGACCCACATTGTTAGGACTGAAAATTAGGGTAAAATTGTATTCGTCTTGAAAGATATAATTGTCTATAATTGTGTAAAAGTCATCGTGTTTGACTTTTCTTAGATATGTTGACTTTGACCTTGTTTAGTTTGTTTGACCCTATATATAGGGTGATTCTTTGTAATCTTTGTAAGCTCATTTGCAATATCAATATACATTTGAGAATTTGACCAAAGTTTTATTGTTGACTTTCTCTCTCTCATCTCCTTCTACGTTCTTGAAGAAATCTTAGATCTTCCATGGAGTTTTGAAGATATACAGAAGATTGATCATATATTGGGACAACACACATTCAGTACTGACAAGATGTTAACACTGGTAAAATTTTCATCGTGTCCGCGTGAAATCTCAACAGATGACAATAACACTCAGGATGTTTCATTTGTATCATAGAGATTTACAACTTCAGAAGTCACATCTGTCCTAATAGGTGCATCAGGGTTTAGACTCAACGTAATATTCAAAAATTTGAAGAACATAATTGATGTCTTCTAGTTTCAATATCAACACTCTCCGAATGAGAGGCCGATGTATTATGTGATAAATTTGCATGAATATTTGAATCAACTGTCTGTTGGGATATAGTTGAGTGGCTAGGGAGGGTATGCAAGTGCATCACTAGGTCCATGAAATCTTCTTCAATATCAGAAACACATGCAAACCGATAATAAATGTGGCAACCCGGAATGTAATGGTGTGGGAAAGGTCCTCTTATTATTTTGACCTTATCTCAGACTCACCATAGTCTTTTGCTTTCCCATCACTCACCCTCTCTGAATTTTCAACTGAAATTTCCTCATAATCCCTTATCACCCCAGATAGGATGAGCGTTTGTCTCTATACTCTCATCATCAAATACATCAGGATGTATACCTATGTGTTGAGGAATCAAATGAATATCACATCTAAATCTCCATCAGAAAGAGCATCAAGATCTTCTGATATGTCATCATCTGATTCAGTTGCTTGGCACGAGTTCTACATTGCCTATGAGAAATGGCGGAATAGGAGGAATTTGTGCATTACCGTCTCCTTCCTGCTGTCTTGAGCCGTTACACTTGCTTCCAGTTATTCTTTATCGATCAGTGGTCTACTCCGCGTATTGACCATTTTAGACTACCAAACCAAGGAATAGGAATATGAGATTAAGCTAACACGAGATTAACAGTTGATACGTGTTATTACATTCATCATAACAATAGCAAGGTCAAGCATGCTTACGTAACAACATACTCAAAATAGCATTAGCTAAGTAAAATTATGAATATATTATACATAAGAATTCTCATTACCGTCGTCACAATTCACAATTAGTGCATTTCCCCGACTCCATAGCTTTCTTATCTTGAGAGTTCTACCAACAACTCACAAATCGTTTATTAAAGTCTCAGCTTAAGTCTATAAAGTATAAAATATTTACAACCTAAAAGAGTAGAAGATGAATAACAACCTACTAATCTAAACTATACTCAATTTAGATTATGAACAAGTGCCACTATCTTCATCAAAAGAATCCTATCAACATATAGCACATTTTACAAAAGCTAAACTTCTCAAAAATTTCCCTATCAGTATCCAACCACGCCGCTCAAACCTTCAGGGCCCCACTGCTATGAGATTCCAATATACATGTTATTTTAAGAAAAAGTGTTAGGGTTGATGCCTTGTGAACCAGTTATAGAATAAAGCGAATGACAACTGCAAATAACATTTTATGAACTTGAACATAACCCAAAGTTCACATATCTCAAATAAGGACCATACGGTCCAAAACACATCTTATGATGACGAGAGAACCTGATTTCCATGGTTAGTAGCGAAACACAAAAGTACCACAATTCCATGTTATAGAGTTCACACTAAGTATCAACATCCAGTTACTTCAACCAACCATGATCCTAGTTAGACTCATTCGCTAGAAATTATACCATATGGTCAATGGTCGGTATCCGGCTCCAAGAGTCTGAACCATATTGCCCCCGATGGCCCAATGCCGATTTCTAGTTACAAATCGGGAAAACCATCTCATTTTAAATAAAAACCGACTCCTATGACTATGGATCCATTTGCATTTAGTCTAATAAATGTCACAACTTTAAAGTAACCAACTATAATCATACATGTAGTTCTCATCATTCAAATGCCCTCATAAAATCGTTTTAACACGAGATTTACAAAATGGGACAAAGTTCTCATAACTTCCAGTAAACCATTTTCTTACCCGATCATAATATCACATTTGCCATCTTTTCCCAAAAGTTGTCAAGTTGAAGAATAATCTTGATCTACAAGAAATAATACTTCTTTTTCCAAAGATCATCTAAATGGCTAAAAATCATCAAATAGGAAAAGTTTTCCAAAGATATCATTCATATGTTAAGAACTTACTTTTACAACATATTTAAAGAAGCCAAACCTTCATTTTATCGAAAGGGTAAAAAACCCCTCAAATCTCCTAAAATACCCAAAATTGATCAAATCCACACATATGTAGAAATGTATCAAGAGTGATGTTTAGGAGACTAAAATATAGCATTTTTGACATGTAATAAAGTTTAGAAAAGGTTAGAGTGAACTCACAATATCTAGGTTTTGAAGAAAACCTAAAATGAAGCAAAATGGTGAGAGGATGAGAAAGACTTTGAATCTCTAGCTCAAATCCTTGAACCTTGATATTAGATGCTAATATATGCCCCTTAAATGCTAATATATGGCCTAAAACTGTAATTAGTTTAAAATATGGATGATAATTGCTATTGGGTAGCAACCACAAGAACCAAAAGTGTAATTTTCACAAAAGATAATGACATGAAGTTCATGAAGAAGGAAAAGCGTTGGATTTTGGACAAAGTGAAAGTCAAGTTTATATGATAATAAATAAAGATTAGGGACTTGGTCTAAAAGCTAAATTTATTCAAGTTATTTTTATAGAGTAAACTACAAATTTGGTCCCTGTGGTTTGTTGGTTATAACACTTTTGGTCTACACGATTTTGAAATACGAGATGGCCTACGTGGTTTGCAAAAGCTTCTGGATTTGGTCCCTCCCTCTAACAAATGTTAAAAATATCCATTAGATAAGAGGTAGTTTAGGATTTTTTTGGTTTTTATTTTATTTTCTATTAAAACTTCAAATATTTATATACATCCGTCTTGTACACCTCTTCTCCATTTCTTCTTTCTGTCCATCTTCTCCGTTCAAACTCTGACCAAACCCTAAACCAATTCCAAAAACTAGCACTAAAATCAAACTAAAATCGAAATCCACACTTCAAAATCAAAATCCAAAAGTTTAGCACCAAAATCAAACTGGAATCGGAATCCACACTTCAAAATCAAAATCAACATTAAAACCCGATCCCAAAATTCAAACTGAAATCAAGTTCGAAATAAACCTTAAATGGCACAATCATTGTTTATCTTTTATGTTTCTACCATATGTGACTTATTTATAGACAATAGCATTTAATTAACAACATAAATTTTATAGATGGAGAAAAAGGAACTCCTAAAACAAAAACCCAACACCATTAAGAAATTTGGAAGAGAGTTGCTAAAAGCTCAAGAGCACTAGTTGACCAACTAAGACCATAAACCAAAAGCTTGATCATGTGTAGGTAACCCGGAGATAATAATAATTCATTGAATGGAATCTTGACTAAGACCACGAATCAACTTCTGGAAGTTCAATTTGATGAAGAAGATCGATTTTTGTGTGTTGATGGTGTATGACAGTGGATACGATGGGGGATGGTATGTCCAAGAAGATGGGAAGATGAGGAGAGGAGCTCACTGGAGGTAGATGTCATTGTTGAAGAGTTTGATTTTACCCTCCATCACCCTCACATTGAGAACTTGGGTTATTACACTTACAAACCATTTTTATATGTGTCGATTCATATATAAAACAACATATGTGAAAAAATCAGTATTTATATAATGTTGTTTTGTCTCGAAACATTTTGAGACAGTTTCGCTTGTGATAAAAAACGAGAATATGCCGCTTATATGGAACATGAAGGAAACATGTAAAACAACACGAACTATAACTTAAAATCAAACACATTGAATAATTTGAACAGGTTTTCACATGTTTATAACATATATATTGACGATCCTTATTTGATAATGAAAATACTCCTTATGATATTTATAATTTATTTATTCTGTATACGAAATATTATCAACTACAAGAAAAACTGCAAATACAAATAAATATATTAAGGCAGTGCCCAGTAGATCCTTGATTAATATTTGTTTTGCAT